GATATCTTTCAGACGCCCCAATACTTGGCAAGAATGCAGGAATTAACTAAATTGTCTCCTGCAAACTCCACTCCCCGTTCCCTCCTCTTTTATTCCCTATGGGAGGGGCCATTCACCATCCACCTGCGGCGTTACTCCCAAGTCAACCCTTGTTCCTTAGCTGTTCCCTTCTCCTGGCAACTCCACGCATGTGCACATCGGGAACAAGCTCCAATTGTTCATCTGCCTCACTGATGTCTGACTCTGAAGGCAGCTGATAACTGGCATACCACTCTAGCCCCATCTCTCCTTTCAATGCAGAGCCCTCATCAGAGCCTTTCCCAGACTCCAGGAGTGGCCATGTTCCTCCCCAACCTCCTCTCCTCACTGTCCAAATCTGCTGCCAGCTTCTCTGGCAGGCCACAACACAAAGTCAAATGAGGAAGGTAGATTCATTTATCCCAAAGATGTTTTTTTTTAAGATTCTAGCTTCATTCAACAGCTAACAATGGCAATGATTCCCTTTAACAATGGTGGCAAGAAAGGTCGTAAAATGGAGCAAATTGTCTTGCTGTACAACCATCTCGCTGAGTCACAGAAATTCTAAGTCTCAATTCCGTTCCTAAATCAAGGACAACCCGCATTAACACACTGGGACAATCCCTGATCCAGCTAAACAGAAGCAAAGATGAGGAATATTTGAGCAACTCACTTGTTTCCTCGGAAAAAGTACGTTTTCCCACTCGGCATCCAGAAAAGGGCAGCGTCGATCCGATCTGTGGGGAGCCTCCTTCCTAACTCCTTGATATGTTTCGGGTATCCCGGCTCCAAGTTGGCTTCGTTGAAAACCCAATGTTTGTCTCCTGCAAGGAGAAGACGGTCAACCAGCCACGCTAAGTACCGTATCTTTCGGAGTATAACACGCACCTTTTTCCCCTCAAAAAAGAGGCTATAAATCTGGGTGCGTCTTATACACTGAATACAGCATTTTTCACCTCTTGAAATCCTGCCCCCTTCACCAAAATGACCGCGCATAGCCTTTAGGAGAGAGCTCCTGGGGGCTGGGGAGGGCAGAAATGAGCAAAAAACGGCCCGTTTTTTGCTCAATTTTGGCCCCCCAGCCCCGAGGAGCACTCTAAAAGCCTCCTAAAGGCTATTAATGCCCGTTTCTTGCTCGTTTTTGATCTCCCGCCCCCCAGGAACACTCTATAACAGTGTTTCTCGACCTTAGCGACTTTAAGTCCTATGGACTTCAACTCCCAGAATTCCCCAGCCAGCTCTGCTGGCTGGGGG